TATTACCGGTAATTTTAAACATGATGAATTCATTTTATGTTATACTCGTATAGTAGCAAAGTATTTATATTTATTTTTTAACTTGAATGTCATAAAAATGAAATATCTTGATTTTACTTATAATTAGACAATATTAACGCTAATCATTCACATTCGTTACTGGTCATTAATTCTTATCACTCATGTGTTTAAAAAAATGTAAGACACACGGATACATACTTACATACATACATACCATACTTGCGATACCATCCATACCACTTGGATGATTGGCGGTCCACCACTGTGCGATTTAGAAGATGTTTTCTTCCTCGCACAACTTCCTTGTGGAATCGATTACTACCAGCGATTTTTCCGGACCGATACGACTTAGGAACCTTCAAGAAAAGTGCCTACTCCTTTTTAAAAGGCCGGCAACGCTTCTGAAATTCCCCTTGTGTTGCGGTTGTTCATGGGCGGCGGTAGTCACTTACCATCAGGTGAGCCGCATGCTCGTTTGCCCCCTCTCCTATAAAAAAAAAGATTGTGTGTTCTAATGTGCAGCAGTAAGGAGTTACAGAGCGCAACAGCTTCAATAGCAAAGGTAGAAGTAAGTATTATGGGATGGAATTTTTAAGATGACGGTTTTATCAGAACGAAGAGAGTAACAGTGAGTGTCAGTAAGAAACTCAAACCGCTCTTTAAAGAGCACCTTAAGGTAAGCAGGGGAAGTGGGATTGAATAGAACACAGTATAAAAGAGAAATAATGTGAGTATTCCTGCGAAGACGGATCGGAAGCCACTTTAATTTTTCGAAGCCTAAGTGGCTAGTAAGAAAGTAATATTCTTGGTATATATCGTAAAGACCCATTTCCTGCTTATTTTTTGCACCTAACTATAATATTGTATCCTATATAAATAAACAAAATTTAAAAAAAATACACTTGCGATCTTTTACACGGGTTTTACAAAGATGTTATGGGATAATACTCCAAATATTCCATTACCATTACAGTCTATCAAATTCCACTGCTGAACATGGTCTTCCAACATAGATTGCCTCATAGAAGGACATTTGCCACAGTTCTCACGTTTGGAAAGCGGATTGGTAACCGCAGTTTCAATTTTTATTCTGCATTTATCAGGCAGATAATGCTGCCATTCCTGATTCAGCTTCCCTCTTCGTCTCATATGCGACGACACCTATGAACTGGGGTAGGTAAGATGATATTGGGTAGCGGATATTCTTACACCGCCACTACGCGATTAAGTTTATTCTTTAAATATCATAATAATAGCGATCCGCCCCAGCTTCGCACAGTTAATTTCTGGATATCAAATTTTCAATTAACTTTAGAAAGAATGGATTAATAAAGAAATAATAATGGGGATTAAAAAAAGAGGAATCAACTGCCGCGTAAACCAAAGCAAGACCCAGAGAATAACGAAGTAAAATCAGAATATATTGATGAAAAGACAAAAGTTGCGACACTTATCAAGACTTCGAAGAGAAGATATTACGACAGAGAGTTTGAAAAATGTACAAGTAAATCTAAAAAGATGTGGAAACTATTAAATACACTTTCTAAGAATAAACGTATTGTTAGTTGTGTTCACCCAAATCTTAAAACGGATAACGGCTTAGTCGTTAAAGATCCTGTAGCTGTTTGTGAGTAATTCAATAAGTAACTCTCAAATATTGGTACGCAACTGGCAAAAAAAATACCGTTACATTATCATAACAACGATATACACACACATTGCCAAAAGCAAAAGCGGATATAAGCCAAATCAAACTGTAACAAATAATGAATCTGAAAGAAGCGAAAGAGGTTTGTAAGGATCGTGACACTTGGCGATCTGTTCTCTCTGGCTACCCCGTCAGGGATTGTGCGTGAAGATAAGTAAAGTAAAAACTGTCAGTTTTCAAAAAATTTAATAAAATGAGATTGGAAGGCAAGGATTGACTACATTAGTACAAAAGAAATAAAATGTGTTAAAAATCTAATTATTCCCATTCTCACTGACTGTCTTAATAAATTACTGGTATAAGGTAGAGGTAGGTGGTTTTACGTGTAGAGCCATGCTGCAGCTATATTAGTAGTATAGTTGTAGCACGAATGGGTCTGCTCAACCGGGGAAGGACCACGCTCTCACAGAATACCAGCGTAAAATAGTAGCTTAACACTGTTGTGTTTCATATGGTGAGTGTAGAGAATCGGAGACCCTTTTTACTGTAAAGGGTCATTCCATCTTAGTCCTCACGGGTGACAACGCATCTGCATTTTGATTCTTTATTAAGGATAAATGTGGATGTCTATGGGTCACACAAACCACTTACCATCAGGTGGACTGTGGGCTCGTTTGTCACCCTATCTTATAAAAAAGGTACATTCCCGGATAGTCTAAAAGTAGCTAAGGTCAATTCGATCTATAAATTTGGTATAAAGACGCGTCCAGAAAACTATTAAACTACTAAACTATTTCTATGAAAAGAAAATCAAAATCCGTTACGTAGTTTAAAAGATCTAAGCGTATATACGGCAGGAAGCAACTTGGTTTTATAGTTACTATGTAAATAGAATAATTACGTGTTTTAATAATACAAGTAAATTATTTTGTAAAGCTTAGTAGAGTTACTGCCATGAGGTGATTGTGTAGTAGATACGCCAACAGATGACCATGGGAAAAGCCAAAAAGATATTATGTATCAGCGCATTCCACCTGCCAATCTTTGCAGTTACGGCAAATACACGTTAGACCCGCTCTAAGGTGTATTTGCCGTAAACAGACTCATAGTCTGTTTTTAACACGTTTTTATTTTTATATTGTTCTAAACCAGCGCTTAACTACAATCCCACCTGATGGTAAGTGGTGATGTAGCTTAAGATAGTGAAGCGCACTGACTTAACAAACGCGTATTCACGCTTGCCTCGAAGACACCCACATTGTGATTGGATGGAAACAGACGCTGGCAACTTATTCCACTTCTTTGCTGTACGCATGATGAACGATGTAGCAAGCCGATTGGTTTGAATGCGTGGTAAGTCAATAATTAAAGTGTGGAAACTGGCCGAACGTCGGTTGTCCGAAGGTGGAAAGGAGATGGAGGAATTAAACTATGCAATTCCTGCACACATTCCCCGAAATGCATCCTGTAGAAAATCGTAATTCTGGCTACTTTGCGCCTGTGTTCAAGGCTGGTAAGATTGATTTTAACTAAATTCGGGTCACCAATAAGTCTTTTAGCCTTTTTATTGAGTCTAAAACTGCTAGTTGGCATTTTGCAGCACCAGCCCATATATGGCAGCAATACTCCATGCATGACCAGACTTGCGTTATATATAATTTATTTACTTTTACTATTTCATTGGGTTAGTGTCGTACTAGGCGACTGCAATAGTGATGATGATGACGGTATAATAGATTTGAGATCTTTGGCACAGCGAACACTAATCCTTCTGCTAAATATAACCAGAAATGAAAAATTCATATGCCCTGCATTGGCCTAAAACGGATAGATGAATGAGAAGGCCTAGTCAGTTTGAATAGCCTATCATGTAGAGGATGTCATGGGGGTCATGGTTGAATAGGGGCAAAAAGTTCTCTTTACACTTTTAGGGGTTCAAAATGGCAAAAAACCAAAAAATTTAAAATTCTTATTTTTTGGAAGTAAAGACTTTTTTCGACTATAACTCCGCTTCTTTTGGAGGTTCTTACACAGTCTTTACGAGCGATATCTGTAAGATATGACTGTCCCATACAGAAGCACTGGGTGGGCGTAGTCATAGGATTAAAATAATATGTAATTACTTACAATACTAACATAGTTTTAAGCCAATATTGTTACTAACAACATTACTAACAATATATGGCCCATGGTCTGAAATAAAATTATTATTATTATTATTATTATTATTTACTCTCCGCATCCTACTTGTTAAGAGTAAATAATATAAGAAATCATTATATTTCATATTACTTTACCAAATCTGACGACAGTATTTTTCACCGTTTATCGGGGGAATTATACTACATAAGCAAGAATAGATGAGATAAAAAGATTTTTAAAATTAAAAATATGTGTTCCTTCCATAACTGTTTCCACTGACATGTATTTTTGTAATATTTCACATCACAAACTTTATAATATTGAATATTTCAAAATTTGTATTTTTGTAATTTAATTTAAGAGAAACAAAAAACAGGTTCTATTATATAAAATGAAAAATTTCCTTGTTCTCAGCAAGCGATACTAACTTAAAAACGACACAAAAATGTTATAAACGTATCTATAATTGCAGTTGTTTCTTATGAACACTTTTTGCTTTAAACAATTTCAGGGTTTAAGTATTCTATTCGTCTAGCGTGTGCTTTTAATTATTCATTAGTTATTCAATTTTTTATTTCAACTAGTCATATATAATAGTAGGCTGAAAATGGATATTTGTTATTTAGTTTTAAAACTTCTGTTGGGCTGTCACAAAAGTTGAGCAAAATGTTTAAGCCACAATTATTAGGTTTTTTAATTGCAAGCTATTTGGTGTTTTGTAAATCTGCATTAGGTGAGTAATCTATTCTTCAACTACAATAATTTTAAAAGTAGACTTCATATTTCTATAATGAGCACGGAAATGTCCGCTTAATTCTTTTATTGTGCTTGCTTCATCCCTGTCTCTAAAGAGTTATATGTACTGAAAAGTATTTCTTTTTCATTTCACTTGTCTAATATATAAAAAAATGAGTTTGCATTTCCACGACTGTTATTGCTATTATCTATCTACCTATTTTCATATTAAATTAGTATCTAAAAATGCAACTAAAATGCAGCGGTACCGATAACAAAAACCGAAGTCATGTTACGATACTTTGTCGTTTTTATTCGTATATAAAATGTCCAATAGCATATGTTAAAATATATTTTTATATACCGTCATTTAATCATCATCGGCACAGAGTCGTGTAATACATCCACTTACCTGATACTTGTAAAATTATCAGCTTTATAAGTGACACTCTACTTGCCTGCCATACAATTCGTCTTAATTATTCGTCATTTTTGTAATTTTATTATAATAATTTGTATATGTTTAAAAATTTCAGTGGATACTTTAAACAAATGTAGCATTAAAGATGATGAATGTATGAAAACGTTTTATCAGTCATTGATTCAAAAACTCGGAGAGAACGGTGCTCCTGAAATTGGAATATATAAAATTGAGCCCATAAAAATAACAGACTCTACTGTCTCGATTCTGGGAGTTTTAAATATTACCTTGATAGACGGAGAAGTTGCGGGCATAACAAGTTGTAAAATTACTCAGTAAGTACTTTAAAAATACAAAAAATTACCATTATGTTTATACTTTTTTCATCAAAGATTTTCTAAAACTTACTACGATTTAAATCAATATAATTCTTGCTAGAACATAAAATTGTATACGTGGTAGAGCCATGCTATTGCTATATTATGGTTTGGAACGAATGGGTCGGCTCGAGCCAAACCACACCTAACAAAACACCAGCGTAAAATAACAGCTTATAGCTGGAGAAGCGGCAATCCGTGACAACCCATCTGAATTTCGATTCTTAATCGAAGATAAATGTAGTTATCTATGGGCATCCGCATCTAATTACCATCAGGTGCACTGTGTGCTCGTTTGTCACCCTTATTCTTTAAAAATTTGTAATTATCATCCTAAATTATTGTACAATTTTCTTTTTAATTGTGTTGAATCAAAACATGTACAATGTACAATACGCTACAAACGAACATGTTAGTTTCAGTTATCACCTAGAAGATTCAATTAAAAAGGCGTCAATACGAACCTTATGTGACCGCCTCATAATTCGGGGCCATTATCAAATGGAAGGAACTGGTGCGCTTTTTAAAGGAACAGGCATTGAAAATAACATTCACGGCAAAGGAAATGGAAAAATTGAAATAGGTAATAATTAAATAACAATATGCTCATGTTTTTTATATATCTCTAGCTAATGCTGGTATTATTTGCAATTTTGATTTTCAGATAAAATTGAGGTGCATCTAGAAAAACCGTTTCGCTTGGTGAAACATGACGATGGAGATATTTATTTCAAACCACAAATAGAAGAGACGACCTATAATTTTAATATTTTGGGGAAAGCGGCGTTTGATGCTGATAATATAATGATTGGCGAAAACAATGCTAGTAAGTATGAAAATACCAAAAGAGCTACTAAATAATCGCACATACAATTACTTTAGTTCAAGCATGAAAACAACACTCCCGGATTGATTTTGCTGCTCCTACTCGCCGTTGTGTATAATTAATGTTTTTTTTTTTTATATAAAACTGAAGAGATAACTGAACTTGGAGTCCACCTGATAGAAAGTGACTATTGAAGTCCATGGAGAACAACAGCAACATGCAGCCAACTTTAAATATAGAAGGCTAAAGATGCGTCGTTACTTCTTTGGACTGTGATGGAATGCCTCACAGCCTGTGATTATACTGACTTACACCCTTCAGGCTGGAACACAGCAGTACAAGTACTACTATCTGGAGGCAGAAAAAGGAAAGAGGGTGGTACCTATCCAGACGGACTTCTAGATAGAAGAGGAATCCTACCTAAAAATGCCAAGGCTGAGCGCCTTTAAGTATGGATTTTGCGTACTCAGTCGATCTCCAGTCTCCTCCAACAGCCAGCAGTATCACTTATCACATTTAACTTCGTGAATCACAAATAATAAATATTATACATAATGATTTATTGTGTTTACGCGAACACCACACTTTTAAATAAAACTAGTTTTTACGCATTTTGTGTTAGTATTATATTCAAGTATTTTACAGCGTCCATAATCATTTTTACTTTCATATTAGACATCTTTTACCATAATTCAAGTGTTATTATCCCTCTGCAAGATGCAGGAGTGTACCTATGTGTATTTAATTATATCCTAATATAAAATTAAATCCCAACCCAAGCATAAGCATACAACTGTAAGACTTCAAGATAGTAAGCTCATTATTCGTAAATCGTACCAAAAATTAATAATTTTGTTCTGAAGGTAGCCGTAGTTAACTACGACATCGGGACGTTCACTGACACGACGGGAAGGCCACTTCCTAGGCTTCATAGAGAGTGCAATAAAAATAGACATTTCCCATTATGTAAAAGGGATTTAAAGTATCTGCAAATTCATAAAGGAAATATTTCAAGTACCACTTGAACCATTTAATTAGTTAAGCATTTCTTTTACAGCTAAAGACCTGGTCAAGTTTGTGAATGAAAATTGGAAAACGCTGATGGAGACATTCGGAAAACACTTTTTTGATAAAGCTGTTGATTTGGTGCATATTTTTACAAATAAGTTTTTTGATAATGTTGCCGCTAAAAATTTCGTATTAGAAGACTTGTCATCTTATGTAAATTGAAAAATGCGACTTGCAAAAGGTTTATAAAAGTATTTTCCAAATAAAAATTTATTTAATTAAATATAATTTATTGTTTCTTTTAATATGAACACTATATGTAATTTATTTTACATTTACAAATTCAGTGGTCTTTTATTTGAAAGTATTAAAACAAGGGAAAAAGGGAAACTTTTCGAAATGTTTTCATCTCATTAAAACATCAACTTTGTTTTTAATCATTTTTATTATTTACATTAGTATAAGCAAACGTTCCTTTGCAAGAAGCGACTAAAAATAATTCCATAAAGCAATTATAGCTTCCAGCAGTTTACGTCAGACTTATAATTTTTTAAAGAAAAAGATAATAATACCCAGGCGGAGGATAGTAAGCACTGTCATAGGTGCGAGACGTGTGGTCGTATATTAAAAGCAAATATTTCTAATAACGGGAGAGGCCGTAGTCCAGCAGTAGCCTTTTAATGCAGACATAAAATAACGACTGCTATATAGCCCTAAGCTACTTTTATGCAGATACAATATAAATTCGTTACCGTGCGTATTGCTGTTGGTAGTACTCGTACGTAGCGAAAGTTGTAACTGTATCGTTGAAAAGATTCAACTATCAAATTTAATTGTGTTTCCCTTTTTATGAAGTTAGTGTCCCTTAGAAGTCTACGATTCGACATGGGCCTCACCAACTTTATGGAGGATGTATTTATTTAAATAACATTATTTAATAAGCTATTTAATATATAATTGTACACTCCTAAATTCTTTTCTTAATCAAGGTCTACCATATATTACAAAGACGCTATGACGTCACTGTTTTTACCTACGTAACTGTGTCTTACATTTATCTCAAAATAAGTTTGAAATATATTTTTAGCCGACTTTAAAAAAAGGGAAGGATCTTAATTCAACTGTATATTATTTTTTGTATGTTACGCGATAACTTCGTCAAACGTGAACCGACTTTAATGATTATTTTTTAATAAATAGATTGGGTGGTTCCACATGAAGACGAAAATGGGTGGAGAAAATTGCAAAATGGCATTCGAGCTTGTGATAGTCACATATCCACTCAAAAGGTTTAAAAAATAAAACTTAATAAAAATTAAATTAAAAAAAATATTATTTCCACATAAAAGCTTCCGAAATTGGGACTTAACTCCTATTCTCATCTATGCATTATGTCTTTGTGTACTTCTGAAGCTATATTATTTTCAAATCTTTGAAGTCAATTTTTACTTTTTTATTAAACAGGCACTTGCCGTAGCTATTTTAATGTTTCTAGCTATCTAAATACCAAATATTGTCAGAATCGGTTGAGTGAATTACCATTTCCTTTCATAGCTTTTCAACCCAAATTCGCAGTTTAACGCCTAAAAACGACCAAATTTGTAAAGCCTACTTAGCTGTGATAGTTTCCCTTTTTAACTTAACCAGACATCAAACTATCCCAATTTCAATCAAAATATGTTCAACAGTTTAGTCAAGAAAGCTGGACAGATTTTGGCATAAAAATAGAAAAGTATGGATTTTCTTATACACGTACTATGTACGTATTATGTACGTGGTAGAGCCATGCTGCAGCTATATTAGTAGTATAGTTGTAGCACGAATGGGTCGGCTCGACCGGGGAAGGACCACGCTCTCACAGAATACCAGCGTCAAATAGCAGCTTAACACTGCTGTGTTTCGTATGGTGAGTGTAGAGAACCGGAGACCCGTTTTACTGGAAAAGAGGCATTTCATCTTAGTCCTCACGGGTGACAACGCATCTGCATTTTGATTCGCAAACCAGGATAAATGTAGATATCTATAGGCCACAGCAACCACTTACCATCAGGTGGACTGTTTGCTCGTTTGTCACCCTATTCTATAAAAAAAAAAACTTGATTTTGAACTACTCTCTTTTAACTGCATTTTACTTATTGAGGAAACTGTCGACCCTTAAAACATAAAATAGCTATTATTAAAATAATTCAAAATAATATATTGATGGTTACCGATTATCGGTAAATCACTACAAGACAACATCCCTAGCTATGATACCATTATATACTACCGTTTGTTTCTTTTAACGCACATACTAATATAATATCTATTTAATTTGCAATAATAAGAAAATTATACTTGCCACCACTGTATTTGAAATTAGTTTGCACACTATTTACAAGTAAATATGTTTCAAAATTAAAACGATTTCTATTTGTTTTTTTGATAATCCTAAATATAGATCAAAAGTCTCAGATGTGCAAATTTGCTCAGTCTGTCAACACAGTTATTTCTTTTCTTTCTTTTCAGAAAGAGACTAGAGAAAGAGTCTGTAAAGATTCGTTGTGAACCCATTGAATAAAATCTTTGGAATAAAGTCTGATTTTATGTAATATAAAAATGCGTTTGTAAAATTTATTTATTGAAATTTGTATGGCCAATGAGCGAATTGGTTGTAAGTGTGCTCCCGGCGACACGGGTTTTCGTACAAAATAAGGTTAGCAGCCATTCTATTGTGTATTATAATTCTACGTCTGCGTAGATGGGACCAAAAATTTATAATTATAAGTTGAAGTTAGCCTTCGTTAATTATGACATCAGGACGTGAAAGACCTGTGCCCCCCCCCCCCCCCCCCATGAACATGGTTACAGTAAAGTGCCCGAAACGATGTGAATTAAAAAAAAACTTTAAATTAAACGCGATAAAATCCCTAAAATTAGTTTTATTTATATTATATAGTCCGGCGTGCATTAGTTCTTTCTTCACAAATAAAATTCTAACAAAGTGCAGTCATCCACATACGGCTTGCAGTGTGAAAACACTGATATTCTGTGAGAGCACGGCCGTCGCCGGTCGGGCCAACCCATTCTTGCTAGCACGCTTGACAATTAATACTAAGCGAGCAAAGTCGTGGGATTTCAGTAGTAAGTAATAGAAATATACAAATATTTGCCAGATGTGTTGATTTATAGGATAGGGTGACAAACGAGACACAGTCCACCTGATGGTAAGTGGTTGCTGTAACCCATAGACATCTACATCTATCCTCAATAAAGCATCAAAATGCAGAAGCGTTGTCACCCGTGAGGATTAAGATGGAATGCCTCCTCTACAGTACAAAGGGTCTCCGGTTTTCTACACTCACCATATGAAACACAGCAGTGTTAAGCTGCTATTTTACGCTGGTATTCTGTGAGAGCGTGGTCATTCCCCTGTCGAGCCGACCCATTCGTGCTACAACTATACAATTAATATAGCTGCAGCATCGCTCTACCACGTATAATATGCAGTTAAGTATTGGCTATAAAGGCTTCAAGTGATATATAATGTTATTATTTATACAATACTTAAAGCCTGTATATTGTATGACGTTATTGATTATCGTTATTGAAAATTATTATATAACGTTATTTTATTAGCGTTTAGCTCATGCTGCAGCCATAATCCAGTTACAAGGTGGCTCGAACACGTACAGAATATTTTAATTAATACGTATGCTAGCGAGGCGCGCAGCTTCGCACGGGTAAATATCACCATAGAATAAATAATATTACTGACAGACCACAAATCATAAAAACGAAATAGAAGTAAGTGCCCTTAGTTCATGTCATGTTCGCGCCCAAATGTCGCCAACTTTCTCCCACTAATTTAGGTCCACAAAAACAAACACATTTGTTATGGAATACATACACATTATTTCTCGCGCACACCATAAAAGAAACAGCACCACTAGTTTCTTTTTTTTACACATGCTTCTGCATGAAAAAGTAAAGTGGCCGGTGTTTTATCCTAAAACCACGGATACTGAACACACACAAGTACAACTACAAGGAATGGTATACTAATCATTATAATCATCATCGTCGTGATGATACTAATACTCAATTACAAATTTAATATAATTAAAGTAGCCACTTAACTTTTATCTTCATAAAAGTTTTATTAGATACGTGATAGGAACATAAAACGATTATTATGATTTCCGAATATGTTTATTGATTAATAAACTTTACTACATTCAAGCATTGATCCCTAAAAACAAGTCTCTGGCCTGAAAAATAAAAATATTAGGGCAACGCTGGGCAAATTAAACATACATCAACGAAGTAAAATAGTATCATGAAATAGTAAAATTAATAGTATAATAAGCTTGTTAAGAATATTAACAATAATAAAATTGGCAGTTACGGACTGACAATAGGTACAAACAACTTTATTAATATTATAATGTACGTGAGGGCAATATGGTCACCTTAAGCTTTGCCGCGCTATAAAATCAAAACTAGGAGGATGACAGAGACAAAGACAGAAAGTCATATACTATGACTAATATATTAAGAAAAAAATTGCAAACAAGTCTTGGCAATAATTAGGAACACTTCGAAAAATCAACTTAAAAAAGCAAACTACACTACACACTAAAATCGACTAACTATAATAATTTACTATAATATCAACTGTCAAAATGGCGTCAATAAAGCAGCGTCTTTTTGACACTTTATTATTTGATTGACTCATGAAGAGCTATCATATCACAGAGCTTCTATACAAACAAGACTATAAGTAGTTTTTGAGTTATAAGAAAGTGACAATATTAACCGGGTGACCATATTTCCCTCGTGTACCATACAAAATATCGGCAAGCAAATGAACGTAGCAACAATTTCTTTGTATTCGAAGCTGCGTAATGTATAGTTTTTGAGGAATTGTAAAAATATTTTTAAAATTAAGAGACAACGGGGAAATAAAAGAGAAAATTGAGATTAATCTTTGATTTCCCGTTGTTATTAAAGGTCTAGGGAGGATTTTTGTACTATAAAGGGTAAATGGTTTACAGACAATTAGCTTTTGATCTTGAAAATTACTATGAATCGGTTTTGTTGTAAGCAACCATTAGGGTAACTTTTCACAAAGTAATGGCTCTTAGACCAAAGTGAGTTAATGAAGCATAAATAACTTCATTAATGACACACTAATGACAAATTAATTATTTTAATGTTGTCAAAAGGGTTAAAAAAATATT